TACAGGTTATCTTTTTCACTTAAAACAAATGTGCAGTCATTAAAAATAAGTAAACCTCTAAAGCTTTCCACTATCATCTCTCTGAAAGAGTATTTCAATAATCACAAAAGTCATCTACAAATTACCAACGTCAATTGACTGCTTGTATGTGAAAGATAACAATGGTAACTCAACTAACTCCTAACAGTGACGGCAGACGAGCTCTGCCACCCAAAAGAGGAACTCATATTAAGGCACAACTAGCCAATCAGCATCTTTATTGGTAAGCTTCCCCACTTGCTGAGACAAAAAAATACCAACCACATGGTTCTCTTCATTCCTCCCAAGACCTCCTGATCTCTAAGCTCCCTTTTAACTTCCTACCATGCTCACCTCCAGGACTTCTTCTGAGCCCCCCCATCCTCTGGAACTCCCTTCCCCAACGTGTCCAACTATCTCCTATTCTGTCCACTTTTAGACAATCCCTGAAAACTCATCTCTTCAGAGAGGCCTATCCTGCCCCCACCTAACAACTCTACATGTAGTTTTTCCATCAGTGTATCCCCTACAGCTATTAACTTTTGTTTCTCTTGACCCTCCCTCTTAGATTGTAAGCTTTTATGAGTAGAGCCCTCTGACTCCTCCTGTAATAATTTGTATTGTAATTGTACTGTCTGCCCTCATGTTGTAAAGCACATGCGTAAACTGTTGGCACAATATAAATCCTGTATAATAATAATAATTAAAGAAAAAACAAACATGATTAATTTTTAAGTCTAATTATACTATAAATAGGACTTTTACAGGTTTAGGAATGATTTCATACATACAGTACATATAGAAAAGACCAGCTTTAGGCATTCCATGTCCTATCGGGTAATTCTTTTGTATATGTACACAGTATCCTGGGGGGGTTGCATCATGTATAAGACGTGTGTTTATATAGGCCTATGTCTATATTGATCTTTCACTGTCTGTATTTTTCATTATTGATGGACATGTCCTGTATGCCTTGAATAAAGAATTACAAAAAAAAAGACTGGCTAAACATAAATATTATGTGTCTTGGTATTAAAAACGTTGCTTCCTGCTAAACACTTTCATTTCATTAAAAAGATCTGCCATTCCAAAAACATTAAGATGGCCATATATCACAATTGGACTGTACAATCTACTTATATCTTCCATTAACTATGTGTTGCAAAGGCCTGCTTGATTTGATACAAATGGTTTAGATTAGTCCTCATATTACACTGTTTTAAAAGAGATTGTGTAGTGTATAGCCAGCTTTAGACTAGAGACATTAGACTGCAGTCACTAATGATGTCAAGTACACACAATGAGCCTGGTAGGCAGAGACCATCTTATTCTTGCTGAAGCTGTAAGTCACCTAATGGAACAGCATATTTTATTCATGGTAAGAACCTATTACTCAAAAAGATAATGCAATTTAGTAATGCTGACACGTGCCATATTGATTCATGTAAGTGTGTTTTTATAATGAGAGCTCTATCTTAAAGTGGCCGTAAACCTCAGACATGAAGTGTGAACAAAGCATATCCCTCTATACAGTAGTGCGTACTTGTCTCAATTAAGAGCACTAAGTGTCATTTCTGTCTGCTGCCTTGTTCCTCTACTATCTGCATGAATCACCTCTTACAATTTTTCCTGACACCAAGAGAAAAATGGTGAGAGGGGAGGGACCTCCAGCAGCGTGACAGCCTCAACTCTTTTCCTATGAGCTGTGTGGAGAGGGGTGTGTCTCTTCCATCCAATCAGTCTTCAGAGCTCTTACTGTGCTCTGCACTATGTAATTTCAGCTCTCTGCCCCGTTTTTTTTTGTTTGTTTTTTAACTCTCAGACAAGCTTTATAAATTCAGCACTTTTCATGGGTGTAGAGGAGAAAATACTGCAGATAAACAGGTACAACTTATGTAGGAGGATTGGTTTCACCTCTGTGTATCACCTGTTGCCAGTCACTTCACTGGGTATATGTAAGGGTTTACTTTAAAGGATAAGTCCTCCTTTCACAACATTTTACACCCATATTCAGAGTGTAACATGTAACAAATGGGCCAGCCCCGCACCTGCTGATCCTCGGTTGCGACAGCCAGTAGGCGATCTTATTCCCCCGCTTTCACAATTTACGAAAATGTGGCTGTGAGGGGCTCTGCGCCCCAGGGTCACTCATTCACAGTATTCTGTGAATGAGAAAACTATAGGTCCTTCCAGCTTTTGCGACTCTCGGCTTGTAGTTCTCAATGAACTACCACGGCGCTGTGGAATGCTGTGGTAGTTCATTGAGTCTTCCTGTCAGAAATTTATCTGCTTGTCTGTATGGGATGTACAGGCAAGCAGATATACTGACAAGACTGCAGAAGACTTGCATGGCACCAGCGATCTGCTGATCACTGGTGCAATGCTTTAGAGAAGCGATCACTAAATGGCAGACCACGGTCCAAGAACGGCCCCAGCAGTGCTCCCTTCCAGAGCACCAGTCCGCAATGACAGATCCACCGCTGAGCAGGGCAGTTGTCATGACAACATGACATCACAGTGTGCGCCCCGCCCCTTGCGGCAAGGGCGTAGATAAGGGGGAAGTCAGGGGGGTCTGAAGCCCCCCCCAGAGGAGAGTTGCCAACATCCCCGCAGCCCTCAAAATTTCCAGTCGCCCGCGAGATGAAATAAGGTGGGGGTGGCGAGCAGTGCCAGGACTAGGGGTGTGTGTGGGAGGGGTGAAAGTGGAGGCAGTGGCCAGCAGCGATCTCCTTTATGGCTTTCAATAAAGCAGCTGGAAGCCGCAGGAGGGAGAGGATAATCGGTTTCCAGCTGCTTTATTGAAAGACATACATGAGATCGCAGCTTGTCACTGCCCCCACCGCTGCAAACAACATACCTGATGGCTCAGTTTTCTTTCTAACCCCCCGCCCCCCCTCTCCTTCCCACTGCCACTGTGTTCTTCTCAATGCCCAGCCCCTCCCTCTATCCTCTGCACCAATAGCAGAAGAAGGGAGTGAGGCTGGATCTGCTCTGCCTCCCCCTGTGCCCGCCCACACTCCAGTCTGTGCAGCTTCAGAGGATGTGTGGGCGAGAAACTGAAAACAGCAGCTGACAGCTCTGATGCATCTGAATGAGTCACATGAGTCCAACCTACCTTCCACCCATCCCTCCCTCCCTTCTTTTCTTCCACCCACCCCTCCCTCCTTTTCTTCCACCCTCCCACCCCTCCCTCCTTTTCTTCCACCCTCCCACCCCTCCCTCCTTTTCTTCCACCCATCCCCTCCCTCCCTCCCTTCCACCCATCCCCTCCTCCCTTCTTTTCTTCCCCACCCATCCCTCCCTCCCTTCTTTTCTTCCACCCATCCCTCCCTTCTTTTCTAACACCCACCCACCCCTCCCTCCTTTTCTAACACCCACCCCTTCCTTCTTTTCTTCCACCCACCCACCCCTCCCTCCTTTTCTTCCACCCACCCTTCCCTTCCTTTCACCCACCCCTTCTTCCCTTCCTTCCTTCCATCTACCCCTTCCTTCCTTGCTATGGAAATTGTACATTTCTCATTTTTTTTATAGACATACAGTGATTACACTCTGAGGCATAGCACACACATGAGATTCAGACCTCGACCAGAAGAAAATTTTAGTGACCGGACCTCCTTGAATTTTAATTCAATACCCCTGCTTTAGAGGCTCCAAAAACAAAAAATAATAAATGCACTTTTTTTTTACCTGCAAAAAATGTGCATTTAATATTTTTTATTAAAAGGTAAATTTATCATTTAAAGCAAACCAGCACTGGGAGTACTCTGCCATCACTGCCCACATTCTGAAAATGCTAGCTTTCAGCCATCATGCTGAACCAATGGCTTTAATCTTTCCAAGTCAATGACATGGAACAAGTATGCAGATATAAAGCCTGCAGTTTCATCCTTTAATATGTAGAAATTTAACAGCAAACCAAACATTATTTAAACTGGTCTACTAATGAAACATCTCAACGTGTTCCTTAAACACATATATTACCTGTTAGAAAAGTCTCCGCTCTTTTATTTCAAGCTATTTCCAGGCTCTTGTCTGAATGTTAGATCCAGTTAAGGCTTAGACCCCAGCAGGAATTATGAAATGTAGTCTCTTTCTGCTGCTTTATGCATTGACTGAAGCTGTGTTTATATCGACTTCAAGAGATGAGGAAGATTAAGTGCAGTAGGGAGATTGTAGAAAAGGCAATCCTTGCTGAACACCACAGTATATAATGTATATTAGCTGGATACAAATAATAGCTCTAGATGGGCACCAGTAATTCACTGTGGATTAGCTTCAAGCAAGGCCTAACACAACATACTTAACCATACAAAGGGAAAAATCTAGTGCTTAATAAACTGCACATAATGTTGTAAAAGCATGAATAGATTTGTTGGTACTCTTACAGCTCACTGAAACAATGCTTTATTCCTCCTGAAAAGTGATTTCATCAAAAGTCATTGTGTCTCATGTATAAAGTGTATTTGGTATGTCAGAGAAAAACAAAGTGTGAAAAGAGATAAAACTATTAACCATCTTCTTCCTGTTCCTCTCCACCTGTCCTTTCCTGCTCTTCACACCCTCCCCCTTTTTTTCTTCCTAAACACCTTTTACTTCCTATCATGACAGCACCAAACCTAGAATCACCGCCTGACCCCGAACACAGCATTGGAGCTACAAGGGTTGGACAAAAAAATGCAAATGCTACATAATTTGCAGGTGTGAAAATTCCCATGTCACCTCCTCCCATACTCGCCTCCAGGACTTCTTCCGAGCTTCTCCCATCCTATGGAACTCCCTACCTCAATCTGTCCGCCTATCTCCTAATCTATCCACCTTTAGATGATTCCTGAAAACCCTTCTCTTTAACCGCCTCCAGCCTGCCATATAGTTCAATGATGGATGCAAGGCGGTTCTCTCGCTCTGGGAGGAGGTCATATGACGTCCTCCCATTCTCACCGCGCATGCGCGGCTCCGGGAGCGCGCAGCACAGTGATCGGCGATGCGCTGTGTCTTTCGGACACAGTGGATCACCGATCCACGGAAAGAGCCAAAGATGTCGGCTCGGTCATGTGATCAGCTGTGTCCAATCACAGCTGATCGCATGTAAACAGGGAAATGCCGGTTATCGGCATTTCTCTCCTCACGAGCTGTCAGGAGAGAGGAGAGCCGGTAATCGGCATTCCTCGGAGGGGACATGTACACTGATCATCAGGGCACTGATGATCAGTGTGCCCTGATAATCTGTGTAGCCCCAGCAGTGCCACCTGTCAGTGTCCATCAGTGCCAGCTCTCAGAGCTCATCCATGCCACCTGCCAGTGCCCATCAGTGCCACATCAATGCCACAAATCAGTACCTACCAGTGCACATCAATGCCACATATCAGTGCCCATCTGAGCTGCCTTTCAGTGTCACCCATCAGTGCCACCTATCAATGCCGATTAGTGCTACCTATAAGTGCCAGTCAGTGCCGCCTATCAGTGCCCGTCAGTGCTGCCTATCAGTGCCGCCCTAACAGTGCCAGTCAGTGCCACCTAACCGTGCCAGTCAGTGCCACCCATCATTGCCATATATCTGTGCTGCCTTTCAGTGCCCATCAGTGATGCCTGTCAATGCCCATCAGTGCCACCTACCAGTGCCACCTATCAGTGTCCATCAGTGCAGACTATCAGTGCCCATCACTACAGCCTCACTAGCACACATCAGTGAAGGAGAAAAATCACTTATTTACAAAATTTTATAACAAAAACAAAGAAAAAACTTTTTTTTTTTTTAATTTTCAGTGGTTTTTGGTTTAAGAAAAAATAAAAAAACCAGAGGTGAATAAATACCACAAAAATAAAGCTCTGTCACAAAAAAATGATAAAAATTTCATATGGGTACAGTGTTGCATGACCGTGCAATTGTCATTCAAATTGTGACAGTGCTGAAATCTGGAAATTGGCCTGGGCAGGAAGGGGGTATAAGTGCCCTGTAGGCTAGTGGTTAAAGAAGCCTATCCTGCATCTAACTAGTAAACTGCCTTTTATTTCCTCCATCAGCTCATCCCCCACAGCTATTACCTTTTGTATCACTCAACCCTTCCCTCCTAACGAGCCGGGCCCTCTGTTTCCTCTTGTACCAAATTTTATTGTAGCTGTAATGTCTACCTTCATTTTGTAAATCGCTGAGTAAACTATTGGCGCTATATAAATCCTGTATAATAATATATATGTAAAGCACTGCGTAAATTGATGGCGCTATATAAGTACCTGAAATAAATAAATAATAATAATTACAAGTTTGCATTGAAAGCGGAAGTGATGTAACATTTTATTTGTTTCTGCTGTGTGATGAGACACCTAGCTAACAGGTGGGAAGCCTCACTTTCGTCACTCACTGCATGGACTGCTAGTAATACAGAGTCATATTAGAGCTTACTGAGCTGCAAAGAGGGCAGATTGGTGCTCGCTTAGCTGATGCCTCTGTGATTGAAGTTGCCAATTTATTTGCCGTGTCACGAGGTACAACATCAGAGGTTATGACGACATATTCAGTTTCCGGGAAAACATCGTCTGATAAGCATAAGAGCGGTCCACATGGCCAACTGACCGAAAAAGACATTATGCAGGATTGTGACCTGGAATAGGAAAATAACTACTGCAAAAGTGACTGCTGGGCTCAATCTCAGTCTTCATTAGAGAGGGCACCAGCTAAGTGGCAGCAACAATTTGCCTTCTCTGAAGCTCAGTTAGCTCCGACATGACTCTGCTCTGTATTACTAGCGGCACACGCAGAGCTTTCTGTGGTGCTGAACTAATTTCTAATAGAGTGGATCCAGTTAGTAGAAAATAAATTGGTGGCAGATAAATCACAAAGGGATAGTTGATGGCAGTTGATTATTTGCATTAAGCTGTTAAGCAGAATATAGGAGATGTGATCTAATGCTTGACTGAGGCTTAATATGAATACTGTAGAACCCATGAACTTTTGGATGGAACTTCTTGCGGCCATTTTAATGTCTCCTACTGTCTCCCCCAGGATACACAATATGGTTTACCATATGACATTATATCAGCCTCCTTCCCTGAAGGCGCTTGTTAGAGAGAAACACGTCGGGCGGGGGGCTGGATACATGACGCTATCACACACACTGATGGGAGAGCCGGTAATGTTTACTGTTACTGAGATGCAATAATTTTGAGTGACATTGTAAGTGTATTTGCTTGTATAAACAGAGGCAATTTTACATATTACACTATGAGAGTCTCCCTGTATGTTTATCTTCCCTAGTGAGTGTATACATCTAGGAACCACTGCTGAATTGCCATGGACTGGGGACTTCAGCCTGCAGGGCGGCAAGGTGCTGTATGATCTCCCTTTGCGAAAGTGGTATGGAGTTTGTAAAACTCTTGGTGGAGCAGCTTTGATACTTTTTTTCTGACATATGCACCTGGCTGATATCTGCTGGCACTGAAGAAGTATGTGGACTATGTAATTGGAACATTTTGTTAATTGGGACAGTTTGGTTTATTTCACTACTATCACTATACATTCATTTATTATGATATTTATATTTGTGTAAAAGGATTGCTTATTATTTATCACCTTGATTGACTTGTATTTAAAGGGGAAGCACACTTTATTTTGGTTTATATGTGCATTATATGTAAGTATCCATAGGATACATCGATTTCAATGGAGGGAGGATTGTCCTGAATAGGTTTTGCATTTTTATTCTCATTGATATTATGTATAAGTATGTTTAATACATTCTTGATGTTATTGCCAGATACTCTTATGGTTCATTTTCTGATGAAGCAGATTCAATATATCGGCGAAAGGCATTAAGATTCTATCAACAACAACGGTTTGTGGAGTATCATGCTAACCTTTAAAGGCAAATTTGTCTTTATTATTTTTTGCACAAATTTAACAGAACAAAGCATGAGAAATAAAAGTAACATGTACAAGTAAGTAAACAGAAAAACATCACAGGTGTGGCTATGATCCATGTGGATGGAATAAAATAACAGCAAGAGGGAAGGATCAATAACCCATATTACGGAGACAACAAAACATAGCTTCAGGGGGGTGTCCCCGGGCAAGATGTATGGAACAAAATGAGAGAACTCCATACAACCCAGAGTGTAAACCCAAACTGAGAAAAAGAAGGAAAATAAACATATAAAAAAAGAGAGAGAAAAAAGAAGCCAGTGGTAAGTATAGTGAAGGAGGAAAAAAGAGAGAAGAGAGGGTGTTGGGAGACAGAAATGACAGAAAGCAGAATCAAGGTGGCTTCCCACCTGTATCCCACGGGAGCGACCCCGCCGCCCGCATCCTAGTCATGCTAACCTTTAGTTCTGTGTAAACGAAACTAAAGGCTGGGAAAAAGCAGTAAATACCACTGAGGGTATCAGTGATGTATAAATTATATCTTCTGTTATATGCAGTGCAGGATTCTGTATATTTTGCTCTTTTAAAAACATATATATGTATAATAGTAAATAAGTGTTTCATTAACAATTTGCTCCAGTATTATTTGTACATTGTTTGATACCGCAAAGGTTTAGGTCAGCTTTGTGAAAAAAATTATTAATGTACATGTTTTTACAACAACAAAAAAATGCATTTATAATTTTTTTCAGAGCATTACAAACAAGTTCAGGGGTGCAATGTGTGGCTCCTGCAGACAAGCCCTACAGCTTTCTGCTATACCTCTGTACGGGCTGTCAGTTTGAAAGCTGCAGGGCTTGTAAATGAACTACAAGGGCGCTTATTAGCACCTTCGCAGTTCATTAAAACTACAAGTCTGTCTGTCGCGGTTGCAGATGGGACTTTTAGCTTTCGCATTCATAGATTCCTGTGAATGAATGACGTGGCTGATTTTGAAATGTGACAGTGGATACTGGGAGAAGATTCCTCATTCACTATCACGGGAAGAGGGTTCTGGCGGCAGGAGCCATATGAAAAGGAGCAGGTTACATGTTACGCACTAAATACAGCTGTAACATGCTCCTAAAGGTGAGCTTGGCCTTTAACACCCTATTACAAAATGTTGTTTATATGTAAATCGCTATATTTGGGATGTGATGTCCATACCATTGGGACAATTTATTATAATTAGCAGTTCAGGAATGTAATCAACCTCTCTGAATGTGGCCATAAGAGAAAAACCGACCACAGACTGAACAGAAGGATAGTGTAAATGGTAAACAAAAAGCCAAAGAAAACTTTCAAGGAGATACAAACTTAACTCCCAGGCTAAAGTACATCAGCGTCTGATTGCATCATCCCTCACTCAATGGTGGGCTTAAAAGTAGAAGGTCTTCTACAAAAGACAAACAAAAGCTAGACTGGAATTTGCTAAAATGCATTTTGACAAGCCACAATGCTTCTGGGAGACAGATGAGACAAAACTGGAGCTATATGACAATTCACATCAGCTCTATGTTCACAAATAAATAAAAAATAAGCTTTTAAAGAAAATAACACTGTACCTACTGTGAAACATAGAAGAGGTATGGTTCTGTTATGTATCTGCTTTGCTGCGTCTAGGGGAGCCCTGAACCTCTGCAGGCCACAATGAAATCTCAAGACTATCAACGACTTCCAGAGCAAAAAGTACGACCCAGAGTCAGAAAGCTCTGCATCAGTCACAGGTAATAGGTCCTCCAAAAGGATAATGACTTTAAAAAAAACACAGCTAAAAGCAAGGAAGAATGCCGAAAAATGAAATATTGGACTATTTTGAAGTGGCCTCGTGTGAGTTCAAGTCTGAATTCTATGGAGAATTTATGGCAAAAGCTGAAACATGCAGTCTGGACAAGTCAACCTTCACACATGAAACAGCTGCTCTCACTGAGAAGGTCTGCTACAGAAATCACTTTTTTAGGCAGGCCATATTTTCTTTAAAAAATTAAAAATTTTGTGCAACTACTATCAGATGTGCCACCACTAATTTTGAAATTCAACTAACCAAGCCTTCAGTTTCACCTCAGGTTGCTACAGAAAAGAATTTTCGTGGCTTGGAATCTTCTATTCCTTCCAGCTTCCAGCTCAAGCTTATTTTTTTTTTCGATTATATTTCTTGCACAATTCTCCCATCATTAATTAAAATTAGTTTGTTTGTTTTTCAAAAAATTTCCAACATGCCCATTCACTCAAATACGATGGCCACACGAAAATCGGCCAATGCTGCAGCCCACTAACGGTGCAAAAATTGAACAAAGATTAGTTAGTTACTATTTTCAATAGAAAATTTGTTCGGAATTTGCACCAGTTATGGCCTATAGTAATTGCTTCTAAAGGTTGTGCAACAAAATATTACATTAATGGTCCCATCATTTTTTGTCCATGCCATATTCATTTGTTTTATTATTTAAAAAAAAAAATCTGTTGGGTCAAAATTCGACAGCAAAGTCAGATTTTTATTGAATATTAACCATTTGCCGCCCGCCCTATGGCCGAATGGCGGCCGGCAAATGTCAT